TTTTGTTTTCTTAACTTGTGGGAGTTTATATTTTTATTCAATAAATTCATTCTGCTGTATTTTATTTTTACTGCGAACGTAGGATCTTTTTTTTTCTACCTTGCACTTGGGACCAGTTGCTTCAGGACCATTTTCTTCTATAATAGCTTTAAGTGCTACAGAACAAAGTACTGCGAATGTATGCTGCTACCCATACTGGAGGTATAGCGTGTTCTCACAACTGTCCAATAGTCCGATGATGATAGCGAGTAACCTGAGCAGACTTAATTTCGGAAAGGTTCCAACCTTTCCAAAAAGAAAAGATAATAAAAAAGAAGTTGAAAAAGGGGGGGGGGGGGGGAGTTGAAAACGATGGCAAGTCCTTCTTTCTCTGTCCTAGGGCAATTTTTTTTCTGGTTTGGTTAGCGTTCTGCTGGCGTAGGCGACAACGCAGGTCTCATAGCCTTGTTTTCTTTGAATAAGGACTGCGCCCAACCCGAAACCACTAGCGTCCGTGCGAAGCTCTCTCGGTGCGGTATTATCAAAACGTCGCAGGATTGGGTCCAACGTCAATAGTTGTTTTAGTCACTGGAACGAATGTTCACAATCCGTGGTCCAGGCAAACGGTGTGTTCTTTTTAAGCAAATCGTGAAGACGTGCTGCGTGCGATGCCTGCAAATCCACGCACAAAGCGTCTGAAATAGGAGCACAGGCCTAATGAACTCTGAACATTTTTATTTTTTTCATTTCAGGGTGGTGGGAAATCAGAAACGGCTCGAAATTTATCTGGATCTGGTCGGATTCCTTCTGGTGAAACGACGTGACAGAAGATTAGAATTTGAGTACATACGAAGTGGCATTTTTTGTGTGTTTAACTGTAGTCCTGCGTTTTCCATGCAATTCAAGACGGTGTTAAGGCGAGTTAGATGCTCTTCGAAAGTTCCTGAAAAAACAACAACACCGTCTAAGTAACATAGGCAAATCTTCCATTTGAGACCATGAAGTACGTTGTCCATCAACCTTTCAAATGTAGCCGGTGCATTACATAAGCCAAAGGGTATTACGTTAAACTCGAATAGACCATCGGGTGTAGAGAACGCTGTCTTTTTCTTGTCATCTTCAGCCATAGGCACCTGCCAGTAGCCTGAGTGTAGGTCCATTGTCGAAAAATTTTCGGCGCCCCGGAGGCAATCCAGCGCGTCATCGATTCGTGGCATCCGGTATATATCTTTTTTTGTTATTCGGTTTAAACGGCGGTAATCCAAGCAAAATCGAATGCTCCCGTCTTTTTTCTTTATTAACACGACAGGAGATGCTCAGGAACTGCATGACGGTCGCACGACTCCCTTCCGAAGCATCTCACTTACTTGATCGTCGATCATATTACGTTCGGCTAAGGAAACTCGGTACGGCCGCTGCCTCAGCGGTTGCTGGTTCCCGACGTCGATTCGGTGTTCAGTGGAAATCGCCTGGCCGGAGGCTAATTGACCAGCATCGAAACATTTGCTGTATTTGTGAAGAATGGCATAGAGCTTTTCCCTTTGGTATTTGTGAAGGTTAGGATCGATAGCTTCAAGTAGATGAGGCGAACTAGGAGAACTCGTGGTTTTGGTACCAGTGCCATCGGCTTGCTGGGCAAGAGCGGCTACTTGAAGTGTGTCAGCTATTATTGCCGTTCCTAGGACAAGGCCTGGCGATAAAAGACAATTAGAAGACGACGACTTCGTGACCATGGTCAACGCTTCATTATTTACGAATGTAGCTTAACCGTACGGGGTAAGAAGTCCTGTTTTGGCGAAAGTCGGTTTTGAAGGCGAAATTAAAATATCACTTTGAATTGGGTCTGGCCAAGAAACTACTACACTCGAGGAGGAATAAGGAGGAATTACGGTGTCTTCTGCAAACAAAGACATTATAACTGCAACTTCACTCGAAAAATGTAGGTGGGAGAACTTCGGATAACTCTATTGTGGATTGGGAACAATCAATAATTGCTGAAGCCTTAGACAAAAACCCCAACCCAAAATTATCTCGTGTGAACAAGAGGCGAGAACGAAAAATCAAACAACATGGGAAACTCCGTCCAAAGAAAGGCGAGTTTTACACCTTAAAATAGGCATTAAATTCTGTTTACCAGCTGTCTAAATGACAAGACCGGCACACGGGGTGGTTACTTTCCTGAGTCTTCTGCAAAGATCATATACCTCATAACGGAAACGGCAGCACCAGTATCTACTAGAGCTTGAATGCGTAAATCTTCAATGCACACTTCGACCATACTATTTGGAAAATGAGGGCTTTGAAATTGTGAAGGTGCTGCAGTTCTTGCCTCCTGAACCGCAGTTATCAGTCTCCACTAATGATGGGGTTATTATTGCGGGGGAGCATTGGTGAGGAAGACCTGCGGCGTGGCGATGGCGAGTGGTACCGTTCTGATCTACGAGGTCTGTCACGGTAGTCGTCACGGGGCGAGGGCGGCCTATATATGAACTTATGCTGGGGAGTCGAAAATGGACGGTATGGGGCATCATAGGTGATGGGACGGCGTCGGCAATACCTCGCAATGTGGCTTACCATGCCACCACTGAAGCAGACGGGACGTCCGTCAGGAGCCCTCCACTGCGCTGGTTTTGGGGCCTGAGGAAACGATGTTGGAGCTGTATATGGCAGAGGTGTGTGCATAGCTGGTCTACTCAATATCTCGGCATACGTTGGTCTGGAGGGTGGTGCGGTTAGGGAAAAAACGCATCAAACCGCAGATGCGACCTCGTCCTGGATAATAGTCTGAATGCTTGTCGTAGGGAGCTTCCGGTATCTGGGATGGTGGGGTGACGTTCAAGGTCCTCAATATAAGTGCTAACTCCTCGCGGACAGTGTCGCGAATGAAGTTCCAGAGGCTGTCGCGAGTGCCGATGGAATCTTCGTGAGGTGTGATGAGACTCGCTATTTCGGGAGTCGGTACGACCCTAGCTGGAACGTGAAGTCGCTGATGCCTAATTTCTTGGAAGTTTTAGCACGCCTCATCGAGAGTTTCTACTGTCAGTGCGTTTTGAGTTGCCAGCAGCTGGAATGCATCTTGGCTGATTCCTTTCGGAATGTGATGCACCTTTTTCTTCTCGGCCACGTCGGGGTCAACGCGTCCCGTCAACTTCAAGACGTCTTCAATGTAGGCTGTTGTAGCGGCACGTGCCCTTTGCCAAAACAAGATTCGCCGAAGCTCCTGCAGGCCTCGTGAATCGTCAAGTTGAAGACGAGAAAAGCTGGGACCCGAGCTCGGTGGATGCGCGAGGATCGAAGCACAGGCAGAAGGCGCGAGACATCACCTACTATCCCTGCTGACCGACAAACGTCCACCTTCTCAATTCAGTTAGAATGGCTTGGTTTTAAGTAAATGACTTAGTAACGTTCCTGCTTGTCTGGGTTATTACCCGTCGCGCACGCGAGCCCAATAGAAACGCAACACTGTAAGCGTTTCCTCGGATTGTTGTACCGCGGGCCTGCCAAAGACTTCCTTGATATTCTCAGTGAACTTTGGCCAAGTTGTCATGTGAGTCTCATGGTTTTTGAACCGCGTGTTGGCGACTTCCGACAGATAAAATATGACGTTGTTTACTTGACGGTGACAGCGTCACCGCCAAGTAACCAAGTAAGCTTGGGCGTCCATCCTTGATAGGATGGACGCCCAAGCTTCCACCCTATCAAGTGACGTTGGTCAGCTTGGTGGCGTCATGCCATTTGTTATGGCGGCTCACCCCTGTCGTACGAGTCAAGCCAATCTTTCACGTCATCGTCTCCAGCTCCGGAAAACAAATTAGGGTTTTTCTGGCGAAGGGAACCGGAACAAAAGGTTGTCTGTGGACTAACCTGTCCTGCCGCTGAGGTGGAGCCGTCGGCTGGTGGAGCGGTGGCCATATAATCTGTCGGAGGGTCCGGCTTCGCAGCTCCAGTGCAGAGGGAACCTAGGTTTGGAGGCAGACGAGCAGCTTGAGGTCTGCAACGAGGATATACCCCGCACCTTCACCACTTGTAAGATGGAGATAGTGATGGCTTTCGGAGAGGTTTATTGTGCGACTGCTCAGGGCACAGGCTGGATTCGAATATCCCGGTCGCGCCGCGAGCAGCCAGCGATCAGCCGTCATGATGACGATCATGGTGACGAGGAAGACAATGAAGGTTTTATGGTGGTGTGTATCGTGACGATGAAAGAAGATGATGTCCTCGTGACATTATATATATATATATATATATATATATATATATATATGTGTGTGTGTGTTATGTTGAGAGGCTTTTTTTTATCCTTAACTCAGGACACAGCCGCCCTGAACTGTCCTTGGGGTAGTTTCTTTTTATTGAAACCACATTCCTCTTATCTTTACCAGCATCACTGAAGAAAATATAATAATCCATAACTTATAAATTATAATATTTTCTCTAGTAATTATACAGTCGCTTTACAACACAAACCCGATAAACACAGATTTCTCTCTGGCATTAAAATTAGATAATAAAAAAACACCGACTCAAAGGGGGAAATAAACAGCGATAAATAGCCCCCGAATTTTAAGAAAAATAAATACCGAGAACATAAAACCCTGCTTATTGGGCACCGATCACTAATCTACCAATCACCGATAGAGCTTTTCTTATTTCATAAGAAAGATGAAGCATTCCAAAAGAAGAAAACAAAAAAAAGGATGTAAGGAAACCCACTTGCTTACCAGTGGCATCACCACCTCGCGATCCACTTTATAGTGCTTTATTTAATTTTGTTTAAATTCAAACTATGGGGCCCCGGAATATAGGGGCTCCCCCGCGGGTGCTAAAACCCATCCCTGCAATAGAGTTTATTGATTTGTTTCGGACGACACTGGGTCACAAGATAACCTAACGATCTAAGGATTCACGCGCACTGTTCCGGGCACTGAAATGTATCATCGGGCATGCAAGACTGCCGTCTCTTGAACACTCACACGATCGAGGCAACGGACTCCCTTCGCCTGGGTCCGCAACTGCACACATCACACAGGACGCTTAGCAGCGTTCAGCTTGTAGGAGAGAATGCTGTTCCACACTAAGCTCACGCAGCCGCTGAAGAGCATACGGTAGTTAAGTGGCACGTAGCGGAAGTTGATGGTCATGGCCGCCGGCCATATCATGTAGCTGGTCATCAGGACTTCCACGTACTTGGTCCTCACCGACTCCTTGATCTCGGGCCACGAAAGTCTCTGGAAAACACCCCTTAGTCCGAGGAAGCCGACAAGGAACACGGGAGCGACCAGGAGCTGGTCCATGAGCACCCTCTTCAACGTCGCAGACCGAACATTTCCACCGCCAAACCATCGGTCGGCAAAGACGTGCCAGACCCTCATATAGGGACCGGAGTAGCAGAGTCCCAGAAAGAAAAATCCGGCGCTTCTTTCGACGTCGATGCACGTCCTCCGTTCAATGAGTTTTTGGACAATAATGTCACTCGTGAGCATCATCGTGCCCGTCGTCACGATTTGAGTTTTGGCCGGATGAGTGTGCAGGAGCCTTACGTAGAGGTAGGCCACGCGCTTCATTTCTGTGCTGGATTGTAGAGTATAGCTTCGCGCGTGAATGTAGCGTTTTTCGTCAAAGTGGAGGAAGCGAAGGCAGCTGTTTTATTTTAGCCGAAACTATCGCAGCTGCGTTCGGTTTTGTTTTCCATTTTGGAGGCACATCATTGTGAAACGGTGCAACAGCAAAGCCGTCGTAGCACGATACATGCGTAAGTCGCTGGCAGATGTCGGTATATATATATAAAATAAAATAAAAAAAAATAAAGCACTATGATTATATTATTTCTTTTTTTTTGTTTCAGTCAATTCGCCACTTTCACGACCTATAGGGGGCGCACTGGTGCCTATCAAAATGGTTGTCATCCAGATGATTGTCGTAGAACAGCGGTACGAGGCTGGGTCTGCGACGCGTAAGTTATTCTAGTTTTGCCACATACGCGCAGTGTTAGAACCTTACGTCATTTTTTCACGCCAGGAAGATATGGGCAAGCCCATTTATTATGAGGTCAATCATCCAGGAGCTAGGGAGCGCGATTCTCACAGCGCGGTATACCACCATCGCTGAAAGTTGCGAATTAGTTAAAAAAAAAAATTAAAACTGATTGGATTTTGTGTATGATTATACAGCCTAGAACTGTTTCTACAGATGTCTGTACAGCTGCAGATGTGAAATTTGGCCAGTGGAGTACAACTGCTAGCCTGGGGTCTTTAACGTGCATCACGCAGTAGTGATACACGACCGCACGCCGGTATGATGCTCATCCAGATCGAAACGGGCAGGGGTGTGGATCGAACCCAGGATCCCTGGGTTCTACAGCGCGAGCTTTCGGCTCCACGTGCTCCGAGCTGGTGTGCGCTAGACCACTCGCCCACCGATCCCCTAGGAAAAAAGAAAGAAAAAAAAAAAAAAGATTATGTGTTGAAGCCGAGGTAGCCGAGGTTGCTTTTTTCCGCAACGCAACAGCGAAATGAAGATTCCCGTGGGAAATGCACCGCCTCACCGTGGTCGTGGCGAGGCATATCGGAGCACGTGTAGCGGCAGCTCGGGCTGCAGAACTCAGAAATTAACTTCGAACCACGCGCCGTGATGAGGCGGATCTAGTTTTTAGCCAGGACGTTCGCTGCTTGCACTGATCTCTAGGAAAATCGCTGGATCGTGCATCCCCGCTTGGTCGCTGCAGAGCGAGTGCGGCCACCGGACGCCCATCTTGCATGCAGCGAAATCGCGTTTTTGCTAGCGTTGCAGAGGCTGGCGGCAGCGTGCTGAAAACACGTTTTCTACTCGTTCGTCGTCATTCGCCGAAAACGTTCTTTAAGACCCTGTGTAAGCCGTGAGTCTGGCCGTTGAGAACACGTGGAAATTTTTACAGAAGCGTAGCGCCGCAGTAAAAAGGCACAACCCGTCGAAAGTAAGTTTCGCCGGTCTCGCATTGTGATCAAAACTTTATTTTTGTCACGCCGAAGTGCTGCGTCTCTGTGCCTTCACACGCCTGGATACCGACCAAGAATTGGCGCTGTGTGGATGCGTTTTGCGAGGGCAATGTGCGTGAAGCCGTACGTAAAGGCACAACTCGTCGAAGGCAAGCTTCTCCGGTCTCGCGGCGTGATCAAAGCTTCATGGGCACGCCGAAGTGCTGCATCTCTGTGCCTTCGCACGCTTGGATGGCGATCAAGAATCGGCGCCACGGCAAAGTTTTGAAGATTTGTCGCGCGTAGATGTCTTTGCAACATATATCTGCCACGGAGTTCTGGATTGTCCAGATGTTCCGGCGACTTGCTTGTAATAAAGCGAGCGGGAACTTTACGGTTGCTTCTAGGCACCCATGGCTATGTTCCAAATATACTCCAATGGATCACATGGCAGCACAAATAAAGCAACGCTGTGGTCCAAGGAGAGTTTTCGAAGGCAAAAGTACAAGACGGCGTGAGTGAAAATCTGCAAAGCGCAGCCCGTATGGTCCTGTCTCGTGTGCAATCTCTTGACCAATCACAATTTGGCGAGCCGCGCTCAAACGTCAATTGCAATTAAATAGGCTGATAATGAGCCAGCACTGATCAGTGATGAGGAGCTGTTGTTCGTGGTATTCTGTTAACTATCTAAGATTTACAAAAAAAAAAAACAAAAAAAAAACAGGATGTACTTTTTTTTCCTCTTTCGTCGCGACTGGACGCTGGATTAAGCTCGTTTCTGGACCGCAAGTGCCGCAAGTTACAAATACAGTCGTCAGACTCAGGGTAAAGTAAAACGTTGCTCCAGAGGCACATACGGCTTCAAGCACATTGCACTCGCAAAACACATCCACAAAGTCAGGGGTTCCGGAATCGGGGGGGGGGGGGGGGGGGGGGGGGGGTGCATAGGGCAGTCGCCCCCATACGTTCTAAACCAGTGAGGGCGTGCACGGTGCACCCAGACTCAATGCTTTTCCGACCGCCCCCCCTCCTCTTCTACCCTCCCAGCACCTGTGAGGCTCTTCCATGTTGAAGCTGCACTCCATAGGTAACGAGGCGCCACAGGCTAATCCGGCGTGAAAGACAAACCATGTGCGGAAAGTGCCAACACCAGGCTATACCGTGTTGGAGCCCCCGCTCATTGGAGCCTCTATCAGACTGCAGCCTTCATTTTTCTGCACTGCGCTTCGTCAGTGGTCGTTAATATATATATATATATATATATATATATATATATAAAGAGAGAGAGAGAGTGAGAGGTGAACTACATGATGCGACATGAGCCCCACGTCGCCCCCAAACATCAGATATACTTTCGAAGCCCCTGCACACAGTGTCGATTCTTGATCGGTATCCAAGCGTACGAAGGCACAGAGACGCTGCACTTCGGCGTGCCAAGGAATCTTTGATCGCGCCGCGAGACCGGCGAAACTTGCTTATGACGAGTTGTGCCTTTTTCCTGCGGCACTGCGCTTCTGCAAAAATGTCCTTGTATTCTCAACGGCAAGTCTCACGGCTTACAGAGGGTTTTAAAAAACGTCTCCGGCGAATGACGACGAACGAGTAGAAAATGCGTCTTCAGCACGCTGCCACCAGCCTCTGCAACGTCAATAGAAACGCGTTCCGAAACAGTAAAAGCCGAACCGCATGTAAGCGATTTAGCGAGCGACGAGCGACGGCGACAACGACGAGCCAGTGTCGAGCGACGGAGATTTCTCACTGTCGCCCGTCGCGTCGCTCGGTTTTTGGATTTTTTTAGAAAACGTCGCTCACCGTACAGTCGCCGGCCATATGAGCTCCCCCGGCCGAACGCCGACCGGAGCAGCGAAAATCCCGCATGGGGCGCGTCGAGCATTGCCGCGTTCTGGGAGCCGGGCTATTGGGACCAAACCATTCCGTTATCAAAGGGGTGGACGCAGGAAGTTTAATAGCATTCCGCGTATTGGAACGTGAATCTCAAGCACGGCCGATTACAATCCCTCATCTAGTTGTAGGTAAACGCAGAGGGCTTATCGAAGTTCTTCACTACATAATATCTCTGACGTGTTATATGCTACTTTTTTATTTGCAAAACCGGTTTGTCATTTTAGATATTTCCTACCCGAAGAGTAGTCCTACGCACAAGCCCCCTTTCTTACAATCTTTCTTAAACCTAAACTAAACAATGACAAGCGATTTTGAAATAATTTAGTTTTTCTGTAAGGATATGCTATAGATAACAAAAAGAAAATCTTTGTGTCGAAGCAGAATAAAGATTCAGGCACTTTTTATGAACGCGCTTTATCGAGGAGACTCCATTGTTCTGCGCTCAGTAGCGTGTTGCTTCGCAAGGGTAATTCTCTACACGATGAGTTTGCAGATGGCTTCCTGGTCGGTCACTTCTCGCTTGACGAGGGATCAGTGTTGTCATGCCTATTATCATATCAAACATAGGGTGCTTACATTTGTAAGCATCGGTTGAACACTGCTGCTTTATCTACGCCTAAGGCAAGCTCCAGTTTATCAGCAGTTATAACATCATCTCCGAACACTTGGGGCCAACACCTGAAAACGGCAATTCTAATCGGCCATGTTTTCGTGATTCACACTTCTAAAGGCTGGAATCCCGATAAAAGGTATGCGTACACCCCTTTGATAAAGGAATGGTTTGGTCCCAATAGCCCGGCTCCCAAAACGCGGCAACGCTCGGCGCGCCGCGTGCGGGATTTTCGCTGATCCGGTCGGCGTTCGACCGGGGGAGCTCATATGGCCGGCGACTGTACGTCTTGGTCGCTTGCTCCCGTCGTTTTCATGCGGTTTGCCTCGTATAGTGCGACTGACCGAGCGACAGCGAAGCGGGTCGCCGTCGCTTGTCTCGTCGCTCGCCAAATCGCTGGCATGCGGTTTATACTTAGATGTGTCGCTAACGCTGGCCGTCGGCGATACAGCAGGCGCCGCCATCTTGTCATCGCGCACCCCAATGACGTGCCCCTGGTGCACATGGCGGAAACCTTACGCGGCGCCAGTATCGCTCAAAATGGCAGCGCACGGGAGCGTTTCTTGCAAACGTGTATAGACCAATTTCTAAATTACTCAGGCATCAAGGATAATTCTGGGAATGTAAGTACACGCGCCGCACGCGCTCGCCTAATGCGCCGAGATACTGAGCGAGAGGACGAGAGGAGAGCGCACGGGGGCGTCAGAACGCCGGGCTCTGATTCGAACGATTAGTGGGTAGACCTAAAGCTAACTGCCTTTGTCTCCACTGTACTCGTCGAACGCGTTCAAAGGCGAACGCCGAACGCCGGGCGCCGGCGTTCCGCATTGTAACGCGCAAGCTCGCGGGCTTCCGCAGTGTTTTCGTTGAGCGTGCCTGTGCGTTCACACTCGTATTAGCAAGGGCAGAAAGCTTGCGCTGAAGGCGGAGCTTCTAGCCTCACCTTAACCGCTCATTCACACTGGGAGCGGATCCGCGTTCGCAAAGTGGTTGCGAACGCGGTTGTTTAAAGACCCAGTACAATTTCGCGCGCACTCGATGACATCAAGTGCGCGTGAAATTGTACCTGATTTTTATACAACCGCGTTCGCAACCG